TGCCTATGGTTTTGGCACGATATATTTTATCTGACGTTTTAAACGCTCCCGTTGTCGCGAACTTGTCGAAACGCTCTGGCAGCCTTGCTCTGTATTGCTTATGTTTGAATATCATCTCTCTCAAGCGGTTGACGATGTCCATTCACTATGGACATAAAGACGTTTTAGAATATTTTGAGACTCCTGAGGGTACATACAAATTGAAGTCTGTTTTGTCACCTAAATGCCTGCCTGGTATTCCCCCCTCTGGCCGCATGTCCTCGGTTCGTCTGTCATTCTGTGATAGTAGAAGTGTGTGCTGTATTAACTCTGGAAGGGATATCTGCATTTACCCCATTTCAGGGTGTCGGGTATGGTTTGTTCGCTGTTTACTTCCCTTTGCAGATGTATGATTCGCTCGCCCCTGGAAAGCAGACATTTAAAACATCGACTCCCATCTGCCATGACTTTGGTGTTTCATCTCTACTCCTCGTGGGTTTCTTCACGGGTGAGATTCACATGATTGATCCATTCCACAAGGAACTTTGCAAGGTCTTCAATGAAGAGGTTGGTTTTGTTAGCATGCACTGATTTATAACATTTCTAGAAATACATTGAGCGTTCACCAGTAACCTGCGTTAGGTGGGTCCCCTATTCCACTAATCAATTCCTGGTTGCTCATGCGAGTGGGCATATGTATCTCTACAACGAAGAACTTTCATGTTGTCCTACTCCTCCTGTGTACCAACTCTTCAAAAAGGGCTCCAGCTATGTTGTATACACTTGCAAAACGAAATCGACCTGCAATCCTCTTTACAATTGGGCTCTTACAAACATCCTTTCTGATTCCGTTCAATCGAAGATTTTGGATGATTTTGACGCCTCTACTGCCCCCCTCTCTTCCATCAATCAGTTCTCATTTTCTACTTGTGGGAAGTATCTGGCTGTTGTGACTGAAGATGGTTACCTTCGTGTCTTTGACTATCACCGAATGCAATTATATGTAGGTGAATTTTTAACGTTAATTTATTTTCCTCTTTGGTGCAGTGGTTACTATGTCATTGTTTCCTCTTCCAAGGGTTTTATGCGATCATATTTTGGTGGTCTCACGTGCGTTGATTGGTCACCGGATGGCAAGTATGTTGTCGTCGGCGGACAGGATGATCTCATTACCATCTGGTCCTTTAGCGCCCAAGCTGTGATTTGTCGTGGCCAGGGCCATAAGTCATGGACCAGTGTTGTTCGCTTTGATCCTTTTGTCTATCCTCCCCTCTGCAATGGTACCGCTGTACTACACGATCTTGCTACGAGCTCGGAACAACTTACTCCAAACGGCGATCCGCGCCAACATCATTTCTCTCCATCCATCGACAGTGACACAGCCTTCCGCACATATCGGTACTTATTTGTCTATCCATCGACGGCTACCGAATTTTCTTTTTAGTTTAGGTTCAGTCGGTCAGGACACATTTCTCTGTTTATGGGAACTGACAGAAGACATAATCCGCCAGGGTCTTCGTTTCTCTTCACATTTCCATCAGTTCACAGTCAGGGGACGTCAAAATTTGGAAGGTCTGTCTCTCTCTCCTATTTCCAACTTTGTCTCAGCCGTTACTGAAGATCCAGTGGATGGGTCGGAGAAAATTCGCTGTATTCCCCGTAGCAGCTGTGGTGGTGGGGCCAAACGCAAGCCGTTTCTCAGTAGTTTTCGCTCCCCTTTACCGCTTGCCTCGCGTCACTCAGAGCAGAGTGATGCGTCGGGTAAGTCTTCTGTCCTCTCGGACAATGGGTGTCATTCCGTTCTCGGCGACAAGCGTCCTGCCGAAGGAATTAACGGAAATAACTCATCTACCATTTTGTGCAGAGAGTGAGTAAAAACCATTTCCACATCTCTGGATATTCTTTATAAATTGCTGCCTGCATTTTCACATCTTTGTCTGCAAATTTTTATGGAAACGTGTGTCAGCAGTGTACAAATATGAGAATTCAAGTGTTTATCTAATTCGGTGCCCAAACTATGTTTGGTTATTTGCTTGATTGGTTCCAGTTATCAGCCATTTAAGGATTAGTTTTCGGTAGAACAACTCTGGGTTGCTATCCATAGCGTTTAACGGTTATAGAAACCTATTTCTTTTTAGGACGTGATTCTACTCTTCGCAAAAGATCCGAGATTTTGCGATGTAAATCAATTACTAGTTAGAGCCAGTGGCACCACCTTATATATATATA